GGCGGGGAGGAGGCCCGGGGCGGGGGGGGACGCCTGAGGTCACTGACCTTGAAGAGCAGGACGTGGAGCTTCCCGCGCGCCACCAGCAGCCCGTGGTTTGCCTCCAGCCGCTGCACCTGGGCGGCGCGGCGCACGGCGCGCTCCTGCGCAGCATCCGCGTGCGAGCCCACGCGCTCCGCCTTGGCTAGCAGCTGCGCCAGCGTGTTGCTCGTCGTGTCGTGGCTGCGGCTCAGCGCGCCCAGGCCGCTCTGGATGCGGCGCACCGAGCCCGCTAGGCCGCCCTGCCTCCGAGCCAGGCCCCCCTGCCGCTCCCGCAGCGCCTCCAGCATGGTGGCCAGCTTCTCCAACAGCGTCACCACCGTCAGGGCGTGCACCGGGCCCCCCGCCGGCGCTGCGGACACAGGCCCCGGATCCAGCGCGCTCTCCCCCATGATCCCCGACCGCGCTGCCTGCTCTCCCTGCGGCCGCTGGCTGCACTCTGGGCTGGGGCCTCCTTTCCCCGGCTCCTCCCCGGCTCCAGCCGTGACTCAGGCAGGCGGAGCGGGCGCTCCCGGGAGGCGGGAAGGGAAGCAGGGGGCGGGATGGCGGCGGCGGCGGCGGGATCCTTCGGAAGCGCTCCCCCCTTCTGCTGCTCCGCCCCGGGGGCCTCTGCGGGGAAGCTGGTCAGCCTGGTATCCGCCCCCCTTCCCCAAACTCTCCCTGTAAGTTTGAATTCCCCTCCTCCCGTCCCAGTTCCCTGGTGTGCCTCTTTCTGGAACGTACTCCCACCACCGCGGAGGGTGAGCCATGGAAAATTTTGTTGCGCACATCGAGTGGGTAGAGAAACTATGTAAATGCGGCACAAGGATAACCTGAGGGGCTCCCACAGCCACCGCCTTCGGCCTCCCACGCCCCTGAGGACTGTATTTGTGCCCCCGGGTTGGGCGCGGTAGGCAGGGAGGGATGCTACGCTACAGACCCAAGACTGTTTAGGGCAGAGGCCTCGCTTCGTGACCACACAGGCTGCTCAATGCGCACCGGCAGGCGGGGCAGCCTCTGGTATTTTCCTAATAGTGATAGCCAGGGTTTAGCCACAGGCCTCCCTTACTGCCTCTCTAGGTCTTACTGTTGGGTAGCATTGCCCTGTTTTCTTTCTTCTAGTTCTCTTACCTCCCTTTCTTTGTGCTTCAGTGGTAAAGCCCCAGCCACACCTAGCTCTTACACCCTAAGCCTGGAGGGCAGGCAAGACACCTCTTCCTTTGAAACCCTTAAAAGGGTTATTGTAGGTGCTGGTATGTCTTTGTTTCCATGGAGGTCGGCTGTGGCTCCTGCCTGATGTTTCTGGGTTGTTGGGGTTTTTTTGTTTTGTTTTTTGTTGTTTTTTTTAATTTTCTCCAGAAATAGCTGAGAATACCTGCAGCGGGTGAGATTTGAAATTGCTGCTGTAGAGGGGGAGAGAGTGTGTCTGGAGGGTCCAGTTACTGTGGATCATGAATTTGTAATGCCATCAGTTTGGAAAATCCCCTGTCCTGTCTTTAGCAGAACTTGGTAAACTGATTGTAGGCTCAGGAGTCCAAGCAATCCATTGATCCTGATCCCTCTCCTCACCCAATCTGTGAGGGCCACTTGATAACAACTGTGGAAAAAACTGTAACTATCACTGGGCATAGTTACATGGAAAGGACCCGCAGTCTGACACATACAGGGTATGTACATAAGTACCCCCAGAGGATGGCAGCTATTGCCAGATTTCTGGGGATGCTAAGTTGATGACTGACTTCTACAAATATGAGGTTATGGAGCCTGAGCCCTCTGCTTCACACTGAGGAAAGACTCCCTTGGAAGCCTGATGGGAATCACTCTCTCTTCCACTGGATCTTCCATTTGCTCAAACAGACCCATCAGGATGTGCCAGATAAAATGCTTTCAAATCAGGGGAATAGAAAGCCCAATTCAGGTCTTAGAAGCAAGAAATCCAATCTGAACATAACTGGAAAAGACCACTGTAGAGTGATGATTAATTGTGGGTCAGTCACAGCTTCAAATCTAGTTCTTTACAGTTCTCTAGACTGTGCAGCTTCATTCCCAGGAGTCAGCTTCATTCCCAAACTAGGCACAAGGTGGCTACAGCAGTTTCAGGTCTCATATCAACACACAAGGTCAAGAGAAAAGAAAGGACCATCTTAAAATTTAGGACATCTATTTCCCAGAAGCCTTCCAGAATCCACTTGCCTTCCACTGGGTTACATGGCCATTCCAGAACCAAATTCTATGGCTAGGGAAGTTTCCTGCATTGGTAAGCTTTAGCCTGGGTTCCTTCACACATCAGTGACAAGAGAGCTGAAAATTACATTTTGACAAATTAGGCCTACTTCTAGACCTTCCCTAGAAACATGGATGGCATGGGAGGAAAAGTGGATATCTCAGCACTGCTAGGATTAGTCAATCAAAATATCTTCTAGAGGAAGCCTATGAAAGAATCACCAGCCTTGAGGAATAATGCTAAGGGGTCCAATGAATTTGGAAGCAAGACTTGTAGTCTTTTCAAAGACCTGCTAAATCCCTCTCTGGATATATAGAGCAAGGAGGAGCATAAAACTTAGCAATAAAGCTATTGATGATTCTATGGGTCTCTCTAAAACCTTAGGTATAAAAGTATAGGAACTGACTGATGTTGGAAAAGGGAAGCCCATAAGGTAGATAAAAATAACTTGGGGTGACCCAGAAGAATGCCCTGAGTCAACAAAGCCCAGACTGACAAATTATGATAGTGTAACCTTGTTCATGGAGTATCCAAGAAGAAACCATATTGCAGTTTCCAATTAGGATAAGGAAAAAACAAAACAAGGATGCAGAATGAAACCCTTGAAGGCAGTGTAACCTCATCTTAAAGATTTCTGGGGTATGGCTGCAACCCACTCCCTCAAACTCCTTGGTGTGGGCATGAAAAGTGGAGACCCACTGTTGTAGGTTTATTGTGTTTCCCGAAAAAAGTATGTTCAAGTCCTAACCTTTGATGCCCATGAATATGTTCTTATTTGGAAACAGGGTCTTTGCAGATGTAATCAAGATGAGATCATACTAGAGAAGCATGGGCCCTTAATCCGATAGGACTGGTGTCCTTATAAGAAGACATGGAGCACACAGAGAGAATACCATGTACTAATGGAGGCAGAGATTGGAGTTATGCTACCAGAAGCCAAGGAATGCCTGAAGTGACCAGAAGCTGAAAGAGACATGGAAAGGTTCTTCCCTAGAAGCTTTGGAGGGAGCATGGCCCAGCAACACCTTGATTTCAGACTTCCAGCCTCCCGGAACTCTGAGAGAATACATTTCTGTTGTTTTAAGCCACAGTTTATGGTAATTTACTTTGATAACCCTGGAAAACTAATCTATTCAATAATTAATCACCAACATCATCACATTATCCCTTTACATAGGTTGCCCTCCTCAGTGGCCTCCCCAGTTAATTCTGTGGAAGTACGAAATTCTCTGTAGGAAAAGTTAATAGAGCCTGAAGACTCCTTGTAGATCATAGACAATTAAATTAACAGTTGCCCAAATATAACTGATCTTGCAAAAATTAGTGGAATGCAATGGTGGTGGAGCCAACACAACCTTTAAAAAACTGAAAAAAGGTATTACCCGCTCTATTTGTCAAGGGTTCCTTTTATACACTGGCCCATCCCCTTCCTAGAACTTGGCATACTATGAGGAACGGCTGGCTTTATTAAAAAAATAAAAATCCACTACGCCTCTCAACAGGGTTAAATCTGCCTAACAAAGATCTGCTCACGGATGGCCCTCTGTCTCTGCTGGTATCAAGAACGGTTGGATATTCCCTTTACTTTCAACGAGAGAAAGGTAAAGGAAACCTCTGAGAGCGACAGACCAGGTTACAGTGCCTTAGGTGGTATCACTCTGCATCCTTGTTTTCTTTCTTCTTTTCTCAGCCGTCAGGTGCCCCACTATATGATGTTGCAAAGATCCCCTGAAACAAAGTGGCAGAGGCACTGAGGGGATGAATACGCGCCATCAGTTCTGGGGACCAGCTACAAGGAATCCGGCAGACGGGTTAAGAAGTAGTGGTACTTAGGCCTGGGGCAGGTAGGGAAGCATATGGAATACCTCCCACCACAACAAAGAACAGCTGCTAATGGGGGTGTTTGGGTTTTAGAGTTGGCATATGCTCCACCTTGGAATTCTTATACATTCCATCTCTTGGATTATCCAAAAAGGCCACATACTTTGAACAGGGTTCAGAGGAGCTTCGGTGACGGCCCTGACCAGGTTACAAGTCACAGTCTGGTCAGCTCTACCCCTGGTGCCCTATAAGTCAGAAAGAAAGGTAAGACTTGAGGCCTCTCTGATTTCTGCCTCTTCCCCCTCTGATTTGGGGCAGGGAGGGAAGGAGGCAGATCCAAGCAGGAAAAATATACCAGAAATATTTCGAGTTTAAATTAAGGCAATGCTTCCAGCCTCTGAGAACTATGTTGTTTTTGGAAAACAATTGATTGTGATTCTACCACAAAAGCTAGTGGAAAGATTCACCAGAGGTTTCAGGGTTGTTTTGTAAATTGGAATGCTCTGTCTCACACTGCAATACAGACTAACAGTCTTTGATTATTAAATGGGGGGAAATCTAAGAAAGGATGAGGGGTGGCTATGTGAGTTAATTGTACAAGAAGCATCCCTGACCCTAAACCTCACCTTCAGCTGCCCAGACAAACTGGGGCGTCCTCTAGGGACTTAACCCTTGAATCAAGAGTAACAATGTGCAACACAGGCAGAACCATGCATTTAACAGGGAATGAGCCTCGGTGGACAGGCGCTACCTTCCACCCTTTGTCATAGACATCCTGTCTACGGAAGGGGTAAGGCCATTCCACACAATGACGGAGCTCTGTGTCACTGGCAATTAAGAGAGCTCTAAGTTTGGGGCAACAGGAAATAGGAATCTGAATTGAATCCAGAAATCAAAATCACCAAATGGATGGAAGATCCTGGAATGGTTTACTATAACCAAGAGGTTTGGGGACGCCTTTTTATAAAAATCAGGCATACTAATAAATTAAGCCACTATTTTTTTCTCGCATTTTTAGTGAGTTGAATGGTGTCCCCAAAAAAGCTATGTCCAAGTTCTAACCTCTGATACCTGTGAATGTTAGCTTATTTATTTGGTAGTAGAGTCTTACCAGTTTTACTCTCTTATAGTAGAGTAATTATGTTAAGGATATTGAGATGAGATCATCCTAGTTTTATTTTATTTTTTTTTTCATCCTAGTTTTAAAATGGGTCCTAAATCCAATGAATAGTGCCCATGTAAGAAAAGGACAAAACAGAGACACAGAAAAAGAAAAAGGTGATAGGCAGATTGAGACAGAGATCGGAGAGCAGTCACAAGACAAGTAACACTGAGGATCACCAGCAGCCTCCAGAAGCTAGGAGAGAGGCATGGAGTGGATTCTCCTTCAGAACGCCCAGTGGTGCGTAGCCCTACCAACGGATTTGTGCTTCTGCCCTCCAGAACTGGAAGGGAGTACATTTCTGTTGTTTTAAACCACTAAATCTGTGGTAATTTGTTATGGCGGCCCTAGGAAACCATTACACAGAAAGACACCTACCAAAAGGATTAGGGGCAGAAAAATTTTAACAATGAAGTAAATCAATATGCCATGGATGAACATTTTGGCCAAAGCACATCAGAACATCATGCACCTGAGATGAGACCGAGGTTGGCCGAAGCCCATAGTTTTGGAGTATGTAATTGCTGCTGGAGCCAATGGTCAGGATGCGGGAGTTGAGCTTTTCCTGCAGAAATGTCCTGGGACATTCCAAAAGGCAAAAAGCCTAGAACACTTACTGAATAGACTCCATTGAACCTCTTCTGTAATCTGAGGAACTCAGTGGGCTCTGACAGGGAGGGCCTTAGCCTCGCCTGGATTTGAGCTTGCATTCTTTGGCAAATAACCAAGGAGCCACCATCAAAGCCGCTGCAACCCTCTACCTTGAGCTAATATGGCATATCTCAACTACAGCCTCTGATCTGGGACCATATTTTGCCTCCCAC